ATCATTTTAGAGTCCATAGTTTTTAATTATTTATTTGTTAATAAATGTGTTTTAATTTGTGTGTATTTAAACCTTTAATCGGAAATATTTTCTATATTTAAATAATAATGTAGTATTTATTTTTATATTTAAATAATCGCAAAAATGTAAATAAATTTAACAATGTTTTTTTTCTTGTAATTTTAGGTTATATTCAACTTTTTTATGGTAAGTTAATTACAATAAAAATATTTTGATAAAATAAATATAAAATTTAAACTGCAGTGTAGTGATGTATTTTTATTTTTACAATAATATTTATTGATTTTAATTACTTATACATTCAAATAAAAAATAGTTTTATATCCGGCTATAGGTCTTTTTCTTAAAATTATAATTAAACGTTTGTTTAAATTTTTAAGATATTTCGACTCGCTTTGAGTTATAAGTTATTTTAGATTCAAATCCTGATGATGGCTCTCAAGGCGAGTCATAATATAGAATATATGTAATATATGTAGAATATAATATATAGAATATATAATATATAGAATATATAATATATAATATATATATATAATATATACAATGAAATTTTCTTAAGTCGAAGTCCCCTAAATCGAATTATTCCACAATTCGAACTCTTCTTTGTATTTTTTTCTTCATAAGTCGAATTTCCCTAACTCGAATATTTCCGTAACTTGAAGTAAAAATTGACATAGGTTTTTAGCTCTTTCCTTCAAATTTATCTCCACAACACGAATTTTTTATTTTGCCTTTATATTTTCTAGTACTTTTGTCAGTTACTTTTCTAACTTGCACGACATTATTGGATTCTAATTTTCAGCGATACTAAGATGGCTAACAACTGCTCTTATTATTGTAAATTTTCTTAATGTAATGATGGAGTTGTGCTTATTATCAGTGAAGCAGTAGAATTTCCAAACCTCTATTGGGTAGTTTTATTAGAGAAAAGGTGAAGCAGTTTGCAAACACAATTGCTGCAAATAAAGATGCGATCAAGACAATTTGAACATTTATGCATTCGAGAACAAACACACCGGATGATATATTTCAATTAAATAAAATTACGTGTGTAGGTTAAATATTTTTATTATTTTTTATCCGTTTCAATGTTGCTTGTTCGGAAGCTAAAGCAGGAGCGATCGAGCGCACTTTTGCGAAGTTGGGAGCTATCGAAGCCAAACGGGGCTTTTCCAGACAAACAAGTGGATGTCCCGTTTGGTAACAACCATGCGTTCGAATAATATCGCATGATTGCTCCGTTAATGAAACTAAGCACAGGGCCGGATTTGGGAGACGCGTGTGTTTACTTATATTTAAATCATTAAATACTTTGGAAATTTGAAGCAGAGTGACAAAAAGTAAAAAAATGTAACTCAATATTTTAAATAAAAAATATTTGGTAGAAAACCAAAAAAAAAGTGGTTTCTCTATAACTCGAATTTTCCCTAACTCGAATTTTTTTGCCGTGACGATTCGAGTTAGGGAAATTTCACTGTATATAATATAAAATATAATATATATAACATATAGAATAGGTATATTAAAAAATATTAAACAAACGTTTATTTTTAACAAGAAGTGACCTGTAGCCGTATATAAAATATTTTAAAAAACATTATTAAAAAAACCAGGTCGAGAAATAAATTTAAAATTTTATAAAAAAATAATTTAAACAATAATATGTATACAAATATACTTAACATTGTCAAAATAAGTTGTAGTTTAAAATTATAAAAATTTAAAGGTTGAGCTTTTGTTTGATTTTTAAATAGTTTTAATGTCAACACTACTGAGAGCTTATAAAGGCAAATTCTTTTAACTTTAGACAATAAATTTCTGACTATAAAGTTTTTTATTTTGCCTTTTTCAAAACTAAGAGATTTTCCTTGACAAGTTAATATTCGTTTTAACCTTCATATTCCTTCCAAATTGCACCCCAATAATGGCCACCGAATCCTTTTGTATTCTCAAAACTTGTCCTTATCAGTAAATAAGGATATTTTGCTTATGTACTCTGAAAGTGTCGTGCTTGTGAAGCAATAAATTTTCAGAAATTCCTTTTCCTAGTAAAAACGAATATTTAATTTGTATTTCAAAAATGTTTTTCTATGGGTTCTTATAATTGCTCTTATTTTACATTTTATTTATATATCAAATATAATATCAAATTTGATACTTTCAAATAAAGCCAATTTACTTATTGTATTTGTTTATTGACAATTTCAAGAGAACTAATTTGCAATTTTGACATCTTCATACCAAAATTTCTAAGGATTTTTCTTTTATTGAATTTGTACTTTTCTTTTAGTGTAAATTGTATTTACTTGTTTCTAGGCACTTTTCTAAGTAAATAAATATTCTAAAAGCTGTTGCAAAGGTTTTTATTGTATTTATTTTATAAGGAAAACTAAGTTATTAATAAATTTTGTTTTCAAAATTCTTTAATAAAATTGTCTATATAGGTACATTTTTTTTATATCTATATATTTTCTGTATATATTGCTAAGAAAATAATTATTTTTTACTTTCAATATGAATTAAATAAATACTTGCAAATTGCCTCAGTTTTGTTTATTTTTTTTATATTTAACAATAGTTCTCAATTTTCTTTTAAACATAATTGAAGTCCATCCAATTCATAGTATATGCGGTTGACATACTATATTGACATACTTCAGACGACAAATGCAGCAAAAGAGAAAAAAATCAAGTGGCGTTATTATTTATAAATTTTCCATCAAAAAAAAGAATAAATTAAATTAAGTTAAATTGGAATTTTGATAAATACAATAAAAGGAATATTCAATTTACATAACAACAATTGCTGGTACTCATCCTCCACATCCTTCACATATCCTCCATATTTAATGTATTCATGTTTTATAAAATTTTGCTATGGCAGTGTTGTCACAGTAAACCGACAGATAAGTACCACTTGATTGATATATAAACATGTATCTTTTTATTGTTTTTTTTTATGAAATTTTTGTTTTAAAACCACAGTTGAGCTGCGGCAGGGTTGTGATGTTAAAGTGACAACCACAGGTGTAACAAGTAAACGAACATAAAATTTGTGACTATGAACATCTCGTACTGCATAAACCCATCAGAGAGAATGGCAATCTGACAGTTAACGCAAATAAATTCATACCAATCAAACATAAATTCCTGTTAAAATATTAAATGCATGCATTAAAAATTAATGAATAAAAAACTTTAGTTATGCATATCCTTTTTATGATGAAAAAATATTGTCATTTTAATGGATATCAGCTGGAAATTTTAAAGCTTCTTAATGAATTGTCATAATCCATAGATAACATAGAAATGGATAGTGCATTTATTATTTATTGTTGTAGTGACATTTAACTAAGCTTTGTTAATCGAATCAAAATTGAAATGCCTTTCAGTAATGGAATAGAAAAAGGACTGTTTTTAAAAATAAAATTAATTATTATTTTTATATAAACAATATTACGGTCATGTGCGAGTTTGAGTAGATTGTTGGTAAATTGAGGGAAATAGTAAATTATGTCGGTATGACAGCGAATGTTGGTATTTACCAGAATTTCGGGTGGGGTAAATTAGATAAAAATTAAGTAAATTAGGAGGTACCATTGTTTAAATTTTATAAGATGTTTAAGAAATAAATAAATAAATTTGAAAACTTTTAACCAAAAATAATAAATAAGTGCAATTAATAAAGAAATAAATATTTACATAAGAGCAGTGCAAAAAATTCCTAGGTAATCTTAATTTACTTTACCTCAATTTACTTGATAGTGATGATATAAATGTTAGTTAGAGATAAATATTTTTAATCTTCAGAACTTGTACTTCAAATGTCAAATTCATGATTGCAGTCCCAATTCAAGTAACGCTAACAGCAATAAAACTAAGATTACTAAAATTCTACTATTACCAAAATATTATTAAAAATATATAGTTAATTTTAATTCTGAAATTAAAATTGTGTCTCTCATCTACTATATTTCTACCCAGCTCATACACGGCGGCGACACAACACTTTAGGATCAAAATCCCACCTTTCTTG